AGTGCACATTATTACGTACATAGTGTACTATAAGGTTAAATTCCAGTCATATTACGCTACCAATTAATTATTGGACAAAACACCCCTTGAAAGTTCATTCAAAGTTCAACATTCAGTATGCTGAATGTTACTTCAAATGCAAATTGCAACATCGCCTTTTAACCTAATACTATTTAATATTCTAATTCAATAAATAACTGTAACTCGACTACATGGCCCTTAGTGTCCAATGACTAGAAGTTTACTTATTTCTTTTCTAAAGATTGAGTATCTACCTATCTATGTACATTATTGTTATGGTAAAAAACAAATAAGTACCTAACTATTATTATTACTTAGTAGCTGCAAGTTGCAAGAAACGCCACATTAACAGGAAATCTTATCACTACGAAGCGATGTCTTCCAGACAGCTCGGAGAGGAAGCTTCTAACTCGTCCTATTTTCCTCCGACTACAGTTAAACTTTCCCTTGGGACTAACTTACGCCCATATTCACAAACATTACTATGAGATCTCACAGTGCGCGTGGACGCACAGGGTGACACACGAACCAATCACAGAGCCTTATTCAACGCTGAGCGTTCGATTTGCTGCTTCACTTAAGCAAGTATCGTTTGTTAATACGGGCGTTAGTTTTCGATGACTGTGTAGTTTTTGGCGGTCAAGTTGTAGATCCTCTGGCTACACATGGATTCTGTGTTGTAGGTGAATAAAATTGTAGGTAGTAGTGCTGTGCGAGCTGAATTACACTGTATCGCGTCGTAGCAAGACTCGCATTTATTTAAATCGTCTTGTGGAGTAATTCTTCTGTACCTTGGTACTATTACCGTAGTACTTATTATTATTCTGTGCTATTACTTATTCTGTGACATGGACTTGCAGCGGTACGAACAAGAGATGGGAATTGGGAATACTAGTTCCGATATTATACATTAACCCACATATCTAAGTATCGTTTGATCTTCAACGTTCAAGGTCGTTCCAAATTTCCTTACATCATGTGAGTATTAAGGAATAGACGCTGACTGCAAATAATACGAATTACTTATTACCAGGGTAGTAAATTACAGGGCAGAGCAGACTGCTATGTCTTGCTGCTGTCTTGTCTGGCAGTCTAGCTTTAACATAAATCGTGTATATTTTGGTTGTACATATAAATTACTATGTAATGTAATAAAAAAATAGGCACATATTATGGTTTTCCCGACCATGAAATGTTCAAGTGTAAAAGAAAAGCTTGTAAAATAAAAATAGAAAACATTTTATACTCCCACTCAATTGACATCCGCTCATGCCAAGTCCAACAGATTGGCCTGTTAGGCTTGGCAAGAGGGGAAAATGAATAAAAATAGGTAGTTTAACAACTATATAATTTTAGAGACCTTGATTTTAATAAAATAGAAAAACTAATTAATAGGTCTTGAATCCTTGAAATTTTCAGGAATATGAACTCTTGAAAATAAAAAATCCAACGCACTCATAAAAAAAACTTTTTGAATCGATAAGAAACTGCTTACGTCATCAAGAAACGTTCCGTTCTTCAGCTTAAGCCAATCAACGAAGCAATCGAAGTCGCTGAAAAACTTTTTGCTTTTGAAAAATGCAGTGAAATATCCAGGGCTTCGAATTGAATTGGAGGCAGGTGCAGGGCCGTCACCGAGCGCCAATTAAGAGCTGTAATGGCGCGCCGATCCCGCCGGAATCTCATTACGCCGGAGACAGACCCGGCGGCGGCTTGGCTGATAGCGATGGAGTTCACGTATGTATGTGTACTTTGATTACCATGTGTCAAATGATGAACATGAGAGAAAATAGTTACTGATCTCAGGACTTCCTAAAAAAACCCTTTTGCGAGACACAGTAGCTATGACAAAATTGGATCATATTTTTATGGCTTGACTGATACCGATGGAGATTCCTTTACGTATGTACATAGATACTTCTGATTGCTTAAACATAATGGTGAAACTGGAGAAATAGCTACTGATCTGAGGACTTTTAATGTAATAAATGGAAGATTATTACCATTGTTTCAAAATGAAAGTCATGATGTCACCAAGTGCTTGTTTTAGTGCACCATCGCTAGCACATCAAACACGTTATGTTATGTGCAATCTAACACCTTCACATTACATAATGCCTTAATGTAAGCTACATCAAGCTACGTCTGCCGTAGTTAAAATATTCGTTGCCGTACACAAACGCTTGCAGTAGAACCCCCGTATATCTAGTGAAATTAATTTGTTAGTTATTGTTTCTATACAGGGTGTTTCTTGTAAGGTGTCAAGCCGAAGGCAGGTGATAGGTGAGGACTAGACCTATCGATTTCACCCCCATGTATGTTCTACGATTTTTCGTAGTTTAGAAGTTATCGTTAATTTTGTGATTTTTTTAAATTTTATGACCTAGTAGGCTTTAAATTTTTTTATCTTTTTTTTGGGTTAACTTTTCTCAGATTTCTTTTTTTTTGACAGATTCCCTAGTAATTGCAGATGTTTGAAAAAAATAATCACCTTCCTATCTTTGATGCAGGATACAAAATGTTTGCTAGAAAAATAAAAAATATGCTTTTAGCAGAACATTCTAAAATTTTCAACTTAAAAGTTTGAAAAAAAAAGAACTTCCATAGGTCCAAAATAATTTAAAAATTGCGCAGTTTTCTACATTTTCATAATAACACAAAAAAACATGTACCAATAGTTTATTCTGTAATCGCTCTACTAAAGTAGTAAGTCGGAGATTCCGTTACATGTTTTTGACTTTCTTAGGACTAACTAATGTTTGCAATCCACTAAGTTTACGTTACGTAGAATACGTTTAGAGACAATAACTGAACAGAACATTTTTTATCCACAACGAGGAAGCTTTTGCCCTTCATCTGACCTGATGGAAAGTTGGAAACTGATGGATGATCAGCGAGCTTCACCCGGAATTCTAAACCACAGAGGAATTGGCTGTTCTAAATAGGTAGTCTTACCACTAGACCACAGTGGTGATTGTTACTTTACGATTAAATTTGATATACCTACCTATAAAAGTGTGAGAGAAAGGGAAAGAGTGTGTGTGTGTGTGTGTGTGTGTGTGTGTGTGTGTGTGTGTGTGTGTGTGTGTGTGTGTGTGTGTGTGTGACCTGAATGCACATTCGACAACGACGCAAAACAATTATTCGTAAATTTACAAAAGCTTCTTGCATTCTAATATGGTTTTGTGCTTCAGTCAGCTTTGTCCGCAGTTCATCAATATTTTCATATTCCCTTTTGTATACCAGATGAAGAGCAAGAGCTTCCACGTTGTGGATAAAAATAATCTTTTCAGTTATTGTCTCTAAATGTGTTCTACATAACGTAAACTTAGGGGATTGCAAATACTACTTAGTCCTAAGAAAGTCAAAAAAATGTAACGGAATCTCCGACTTACCACTTTAGTGGAGCGATTACAGAAAATAACGGCCTATTAAGTACATATTTTTTTGTGTTATTATGAAAGTTTAGAAAACTGCGCAGTTTTTAAAAATATTTTGGACCTATGGAAGTTCTTTTTTTTTCTCATATATTTCAGTTGAAAATTTTAGAATGTTCTGCTAAAAGCATATTTTTTATGTTTCTAGCAAAAATTTTGTATCTTGCATCAAAGATAGGAAGGTGATTATTTTTTTCAAATATCTGCAACTAATAGGGAATCTGTCAAAAAAAAGAAATCTGAGAAAAGTCAACCCAAAAAAAAGATTTAAAAAAATTAAGCCACTAGGTCATAAAATTTGAAAAAATCACAAAATTAACGATAACTTCTGAACTACGAAAAATCGTAGAACATACATAGGGGTAAAATCGATAGGTCTAGTCCTCACCTATCACCTGCCTTCGGCTTGACACCTTACAAGAAACACCCTGTATATGTATGTGTTTACAGTTCTATCAAGATAGGGGCGGGCGTTGTCGGTGGCTACACCCGGTAAAAGCAAGAAATACAAAAATTTCTACAGCGCAGCATAAGCGGTCTTTTCGCTAGCGATATCTTCCAAACACCTTCAGAGTCTTCGCTCTTCCCTTAGCGTAAACGATAAGTGGATAGATGTTTGTTATTTCTTCGCACAAAAACTACTAGACGGATTTTGATGAAACTTTACCATACATGATAGCTTAACGTGGACGTGGAAAGCATTAGGGGAGGCCTATGTTCAGCAGTGGACGTCCTATGGCTGAAATGATGATGATGATGATGATAGCTTAAACATCAAAATAGCAATAGGATAATTATAATATGTAGTTACCCACTTTTTATTCATATCGACTTAAAGCTATAATAAATAATAAATAAATTATATTCGATTCGCAGTAAGCCACCCAACCAGATTGCCATACGCAAACATCTATAACAATATTCATCACAAATTAATTTGGAACTATCGTAATTAATTTTCCGTTTCGGATAAGCCATCCTCGGGCTGTATAATTAATTTGCCACAATTAAATTAGTCGATGGATCTGCTGACATTCCATTTGTCTATGCTAGCTGATAGTGACGCGCATTCATTCTATGGTCTGTAAAATCAAACTGGAGATCAAACAAAGTCGATAATTTTAACAATATTTCTTTTTTTTATTTAATCATATACTAATTAAAAAAAAACTAAAACTTATGTCATGCAAATAAAATTACTTTAAAAATATTTCGAGCATAATTACAAAACGTTTTGTTTTAACGTATCTACCTACTTGATTATTCAAAATAAAATTAATGCAGAAAAAACTAAACGTTATCGCATCATCGCTATTAATAACTCCGTGGTAAATTGAGTCGTGTTCGCCGACATTAATCAGAGCGCTCTGTCATTATTCAAAATGGCGGCCGGTCGTTAACCGCAGCGCGTCGATACGGCGCGCGGGGGTCTCGGCCAATCACAGCGCGCGACGCCGTCTCACCGCTCACTCACCCAACCCAGTATTATTCCATATCTCCACGCGCACGCCCGTCACCGTCAAACGTGCAAAATAAACAACCATGGAAGACGAAAACGAATACGCCAACATGAAAACAACATTCAACAACAAACTGAACGAAATCATCAAGGCCAAAGGCGTCAACCACCAAATATTCAACCCGCTGTCTTACGCGACCATGATCTCAAAGGTGGAGCACGCGAAAGGACTAAAATTCGGTAAGACCCCCGCTGATTACGCCCGCTTGAAGAAATATGACATTTTAGAAATCGACGGCGTCAAAAGACTCGTTGTGCCGTTCTTTAGTAGCACCACCAGTAGTGGGAATAAGACCAGCTCAGCGATCCGTATGTTTGTTCATACAGACGAGATTTTTGATATATTGCACACCGCTCATTTGAAGAGCGGGCACAAGAGCAGACAGGGCATGACTCAAGAGGTAAGCCAGTTCAAAAATATTACGCGAGAAATGATAATGATCTACTTGGGTTTATGTGAAGTTTGTCAAGAAAAAGTTGCAAAATTTCACGAGAGAGAAATCAAGAAGAGCTATATTGACTTTATAAGTATGTCTGCAGATCAACATGGATACAATCTTATTCTTGTATACTTGGACGTCAAAACCCAGTTCGTGCAGCTGCGACCTTTGAAAAATACGGAACTTCAAGAGGTGACTCAATCTCTTTTGGATATTTTCACTATATTTGGCCCTCCTGATTTGTTACAGGGGAATGTAAGTAACGAATTTGGGAGCAGTCTTGCAAATGAAGTTTGTTTGTTTTGGTCTGATTTTAAATTTAATTTTATAAAGACAGAAGATAGAGACCAGTTACTTGTGGAGTGTACTATCAGGGTGACCGAGATCCTCAATGCTTGGGTGGAAGCGAATAAAACCATGGAATGGTCGGAGGGGGTGAAATATGTCCAGTACATGAAGAACAGGGATTTTAACCCTACACTGAATCGTTCAGCTGGTGAGGCTTTGTTAGGCCATAAGTTTGGGAGATCTGGTACTAGAAAAAGAAGTTTGGACCAGGCTCTTTCGGACAAAGAAGAAGAATCAGATGCGCAAGAAGCAATGAATTCTGGAATTGACAAACAAGATGTACCCATCAAGCAATACGCTCCGAAAAGAATTAAGTTGGAACAGGTTGATAATTCTGAAGTGCCACACTTGATAGTGTCAAATATCAAAACGAATGATGAAGACGAACCTGAAAACATTTTGTCATGAGTAGACTACTGTAAATATTTTCGAAAATCCTTTTGAAAATTAAATAAGTAGGTAACTTGTTATTGTAAGAAAATAACTTTCCTTAGATATTACTATTAAATAACTCTCATAACATTTTGCGATGTTTAGATATCCTAAAATAGTGTTGCCAATTTTATGAAATAAAATACTAAACGTAATTATTGTTTGTTTTATTTAAAAATCCTTTTAGTGATATTTTTATAAGTAGTTAAAAGGCCAATACTGCATATTAATTAAAGACTATTAAAATACCTAATTGATGATAATTTAAACAAAATTATTTTAATAACAGTACTAAAAAAATATTACATTTTGAACCTTATACCAAAGCCTATAAAATTTAAAATCTTTTGGTATGCTTCTCCAAAAGGGAAATAATGAATGAGCTGTCAAAGGGCCAGGCATGTTAATTCGACGAGCCCCTACTAATTTGTGGGATACACACGGTACTTTATATTGGCAAACATATTTATTTAGTAGGATAATTATTAAGTAGGGACAGTAATTGAATTACGTTTTGCTATTAGTTTTCCTGAAGTATAATAAACAGTGTATAAAATAACGTCGGTACCTTTCAAAGGGCTTCCAAAACTACTTAGGTACTTAACCTTTACCCCTAATTCTTACCTATTTAAAATTGACGTCATAAAGTTACACTTTTAGAAGTAAATAAGATGCCACATTTTGTTTAACTTATAAACCAACATCCATACAGTCTATAACAAAAACCTAATTACAGTTTCAAGCCCAAGTTTTAATTTTTAAATAGGAAACATTAATTAGTGATTACTAGTACTACTCGTAGTATGTACCTATCATCATCATCATTTCAGCCACAGGACGGCCACTGCTGAAGATAGGCCTCCCCCGATGACTTCCACATCGCACGGTTGGTAGCGGCCTGCATCCAGCGCCTTCCTGCTACCTTTATCAGGTCGTCAGTCCACCTTGTGGGTGGACGTCCTACGCTGCGTACCTATACATTGTTCTAATTATGTATCCATATCCAGGGAAGCTGAACCACACGAAATAGCGACTTCATCGACAGTCTAATATTATGTACCTAAGCCGTAGAACTATTAATTATCGTCTAAAGCCAGGTTTCCCGTCGTTCCTGCCCGTATTCCCCGCCTCAGAATAAAATTTACATAACTCAAAATGACCACATGACAGGGGCAGTGCAACCGTTTGTCACTCCAGGATTAGCAGACCTGGATCCAAGGCTATGATGTTTTTATCACATAGGTAGGTACATACTGCTTAGATCGGTCGGCATTTTTTGGTATACGGTCAAAAGACTATAATACTAACTTATTTATTTAGGACAAACTTTTGAGAAGGCGCGATACGAACATAAAGTCGTAATAAAGCGAAAAAAAAAACACATACCTATTTCATATTTTTGCCTTAGAAGCTTTAGCAAAAGTTTTAGGGTACGCTGTAAAAGGAACGCAGAGCTAGTTTTTGTTGTAAACCAATAATAATAAATAGTTTTTGTTTTTAAATGTATTGTTTCACTATCAATAAAATGGACACTTACCTTTAAGCAGCACAAGAAGTCGCCTTTCACGCAAGACCACGTCAGCAGGTTTTACCTGAAGCAGAAAACCGTCTTAAGTCAACTGTAAAGTAAATTTAAAAAATCACAAAGGTTCAGTCTACCGCACACAGTCCAGGGACGCGACGAAGCGTCAAAAGATGGTAAAAGAAGGAAATCTTATTATGTAAGTGCTTACTGTAAATTGCAGCAACCCTTACCGCTTTGACAAACAAGGAACCCACCTGGCGGGTCGCTCATTACGCGCGTGAGGGCGCCCTAATCTGGCGCCCGGGCCACATTCCCGCCCACTGAACACGCAAAGGTTGCCAGTGTTCCCGCTGTCCTCCTTGACAGGGCTGCGGGAAAAACAAATGAAGATCTAACAAAACTTAAAAAAAACAGGATACCGACGGCTGAACATAGGCCTTCCGCAAATAATTTAAATATTGCCTGTTGGAAGCGGCCTGCGTCCAGCGGCTTTTTGCAACCTTTATAAGGTGTACCTTGTAAGTGGAGGTTGTGGGTTTGACACCTTGTGAATCTGACGTCTCAATTACGCTGAACTTGCTAGCTATGTGCATAGATAAGAATAAGGCTATGTGGCATACAATCAATATAATATGACAACAACACGTGGTCAAAAAACAATGAAGATAGAGATTAAAAGAAAGTGAAAGTATGTTGAAACCCATATTTGTTAAAGGTTTTTACCCAACTACGGCAAAGCAAAAGGAGGGTTATGAGTTGATGATTATAGATTTGCGACAGACAGACCACGCTTTGCCCATGGGCATAGCTACGGGCAAATGCTAGTATAACATACCTATACATAGATAAGTATGTTTGTTCAGCCCTGAGTCACCCTGAGTCCGCCGAACAAGGATGAACCTCTAAATTGTAATCCGAGCACAAACATCTGTGAGCCGCGCCCTCGTTACCGCGATTACCTTACGAGCGGACCCTTGTACGATGTATGGGAAAAACTTCTGTTTGCCCGGGGAAAAGAAGTCTATGTTTATCGACAGCAAGATGCTGTGTCCTCAACTTTTGGGTTAGGTGGTAAATGTAGGTTGCATCCGTTGATTTTCTTTCTGCTTGATTCTGTTAAGAACAACTGAAAATAACTATAGCCAAAATCCCAATTTTCTATTTTACTCTGTGAGTAATTTACGTTAGGTGTTCTCACTAGCGACTGCGTAAAAAAATGTCATTAAAATGTATGACACATTGTGCAGCGGCTCTAGCGGCTACTTTCAAGAAATAAAATCTTCATAGATTTTTTTGACGTACTCGCTAGCGAGCACACCTAACGTAAACTCACGGTAAGCACACTGATTCAAACATATTTAAGTTTTGTATGGGTGCAAACACAAACCATTATACTTACAAACCTACCCCAGGAGAAATGTAAAAGCTACACAACAGTTACAAATACAGCTCACAACTTTAGGTACAACTAGGTAATCAATCAGACAAATAAGCAAAAATTCAACCTCGTCGATTCTTATTTTTATCACTAAAAAGAATATGGTCACACCTAAAGTAGTCTTAACTCTTTTCGGTATTACACATACTCATATGAATTCTAAAATTCTACTAAACTCTTACTACTACTACTCTTTAATCAAAAAGCCGAGCGGAGGCCTATCCAGGCCGGGCCTTTGACATGGAAATCCGCAGCAATGTACGGCTAATTGGCGGTTTCAGCTCAACTTGCCTGCTTATTCAATGGTGAATTTCAGGCCAGGATTTTGGGGTTTTAAATTGAATAAACTGACTGGTTTGTTAGGGCTTGTTCCCAAGGAGACATCCCGTTTTTTGCAGGATCCAGTTTAGTAGTTAATCAAACGAACATCCCGTTTGCAGTGTCTCATAAAAAACCGATCCGTTCGAATTCGTAAGTCGAATTTCAAACACACATAAATGCGTGTTCACACGACAGCCCAGTTTTGCAAATGAAAACTAGGAAAACACTACTCAAAGTAGAAGATTATTTACCTATTAATAATTATGTTTCATGGATTTAACACAGGCTTGATTTCTTAAATAGGTACATAATACAGAGGTAAGACCTACGAAATCATAAAAATGAATGAAAATGAGGCTGAAAATAATTAATTTCATCCGCAGCTTTTCTCAGCACTCGCCCACTTTTGTCCCAAAGCAGCCGTAGGGTTAATAAATGTTGAAAAGTTTTGGAACTAGTTTCGCAAAGGCTTTCACATTTTCCCCACAGGCTAGGCTATGTAGGCTACAACTATAATAAACACATTAACAACAAAACTCTAAACTTACCTGTATATCCTACACTAGCGGCCACCCGCGACTTCGTAGATACGCGTGGATCCCGTTTTACCCCCTTCATCTATCTTACGCGGTTTAGATTTTTTCATACAAATGTTTTCTCCCACTAACTCCCGTTTCCGTGGGAATTTTGCAATATCCTGTTGTACCATGCTTTAAGTTTACTAAGGTACCTGCATGCCAACTTTCAAGCGTCTAACTTGAGCGGTTTAAATTTTCCATACAAAAGGATTTTCCCGCTAATTCCCGTTCCCGTGGGAATTTCAGGAAATATTTCTTAGTGCACCTCTACGGTACCTAAGCTACGTCCCTTCCAAATTTCGAGTGCCTACGTTTAGCCGTTTAGGCTGTGCGTCACTATAGTGATAAGTCAGACTATAAGCACCTATAAGTCAGTCAGTTTCTCCTTTTATATAATTAGAAGATTAGTTCTCGTAAACTGGACCCAAAGTGAGGAAAGGTATCCATCTAACCCATAAGGGCCTATTCTCAAGGCCATTTCCGCGAGCTTAAGAAGTAATTAACAATAATTAGTAGCAATAATGGCAACCAAAACACACGCGGCAACCATTCGGCTGGTAAATTAACACGTCACAATACAATCACGCCACAGCAAGGTCAGGCACGGAACTAAAGTAAAATTACCTGAAAATAACGCCATTAAATTATTATTAACCCACTTAAGTGTCCTAAGCAGAGCGGGTAGTTGAACAAACTTCATTTCCTACTCTTTGCTGCTTGCAATTTTAATCGCTCCTGTTTAAACGGTTTTATTTGCGCTTTTAATTTATTAGTTACTTGGTGTTTAATAAAAGCCAAATAGAAAACTGCAATTACGTTTTTACTCTCTTTATAAACATAATACTAGCGGCTATCTCCCAATGTGAATCTCTAATAAATATCTTCTAAAATTCCTCAATATTGGTTCAGCAATTCATAAAACAGTTCCACACAAAAACTTTTAAATATGATAGTCATCCTTGGATAATAATAAAATCAAAACCTTTCGCAATCCATAATAAATTATTCTTCATCACACCTGAATGGCGCCTGAGGCTACATAGCAGGCAACATCACAAAGACTCGCAGCCACCGCGCGGCTAATTCAGGCGCGGAGCCGCATACAAAGTTTAAT